AAAAAAAAAACTATTATTGTTTTTTAAGATCCATTAGAAGCTGCAGTAGCTGTTGGTGGTGGTGGAGCAATTTCACCTCGATCACCAGACATTGCTTCCATACCAATATCATCATTATATACATGTTCAGCCTGTGAAAAGAAACGAAATATTTTTATGAATTGTTTTAATAATATAAATAAAATTACTATTTGCCAAACTTGAGCCATATTGTCTTCAGATACCGAACAAATTACAAATGGTTCATTTGGATTCCACGAAAAATCCGATATTTTTGCCGCATGTCCACCATGAATAAACTAAATATAAGAAAAGATATCAGAAAAATGATATTTTTTTTGTTAAGTTTTTCTTTACCAATAGCTCAGGTGGGCCATCTTCTGCTTCTGTTGGTGTTTGTGGTTGATTAATTCGACTAGAAATAAATTTTGTTTTTATATAAACAAGAAACATATATTTTCCTTCTTAAATTTTACCTCAAATCCCATATATGAAGTCGTCGATCTGAACCACTCGATGCAAATATTGTTTCATTTTGAGGTGACCATTGAGCCTAGATAATAGGAAAAAAAAATTAAAAATGAAGCCCACCCTATTTCCTAACATTTACTTGAAAAATTTCATCTTTATGTGATTCAAATGTAGCTAATTTAACTTTTAAATTTCTTAAGTCCCATAAAGCAAGTGTTTTATCAGCTGAACCAGTAAGAAGTATATATTCCGAGAATGGATTAAATGCAATCTAAAAAATTCAAGAAAAGAAATTATTTTGTTTTTTTTCTCAATAAATAATTCAATTACTTACACAGTTAACTTCAGCTGCATGTGCATCAACAATATGACTTGCTTTTCCATAATTATTTGATCGTGTATCCCATCTTAAATGATAAATTTATAACAAAATATAAATAATTAAATCAACTTACATCATTAATTTTTGATCATCACCTACAGAGCCAAATATTGTTGGATGTGTACAATGCCAAGCAACATCCTAGAAAATAAATAAGTTATAGACAATTTTTGATAGTACATAGAACTGACTGATAATGATCGCAGTTTGTACACTCTTATTACTATTGAGAAAGTATCAGAATCAATAGCTTTTATCATAACATCTCGTAAAAATTCTTTAATGTAATTTCTTTTTTAACATAAACTAAGTGTAAGAACAAATCAATTCTATAAGCATAACGACTAGGATTTTTTTTGAAAACATTATTCTATGTTTGATTCTGTATACTGTTCACTCTCGATTATATGAAATACGTTATCTATCATTCTAGTAATATTTCTAATAAAAAATATTTTCTTACCTCAACAACCATTGTATGTCCAGTATAAATTGATAGAGCATCAAGATTTTTTCCTTCTTTTGGTTGCATATTAATGTTCCATAAGCATACAGTGTGATCATCTGCAGCACTAAGTAAATGTCCATTGGCATTTGAATTCCATGATAAACCATATCCTTCTCTTGTATGACCTTTTAATCGTAATTCTGGATTGCAATCACCTGGTTGTTCTTTACCCAATGGATGTGTATCAATATTAAATATTAATACATCAGATAAAGGCGTTTTTGTTGCAATTATTTGAGGATTTTGAGGCATATAACGTGCACGATTAACTTCGCCTTCATGATTTATTTTTAAATCAACTTCAATTCGACCATTTATTAAACCAAAACCACCAAATTCAGCTTTATCATTATCATAATGTGAGCTATCTAATTCTAGATCTTCTTTGGGTAGTTGTATACTTGCTATAACAAGATGATTTTGTTCGTCCGATGTATGTGTACCAAGTATTAGACGATGAGTACTAAAATCACGTCCCTCTTCACTAAAATTAAAGACAGAATTTGAATCAGAATATCATAAAAAATTATAATCATACTTTCGAACATGAGGCAACCATTGTGTTGTTAGACTTGGCCATTCAAGTGCATGTGTTATAACAAGATTGTATAAAAAAGGTGCATTCTTCTTCCATATTTTATACTCTTCATTAATTGTTTTTTCTTCAATGTTATCTTCGAATTCACCTAAAAAGCGAACACTTATTTCAATCTATAAAATTAAATATTTTTTTATTTTACCTTCTCCATTCTCTTTTTGAGCACCCATTATCGAATTATTCTCCTAAACAAATGAAACAATTATATCTTTCTATATTAGTTTTTGTCTCTTTGTTCATGATTCAAAATTATTCGATTCGTCAGAATTCATTGATAAATCAGAAAGTAGAAAAATTTAAATATGTATCATAGTGACATCTGCTTTCAAAATATTAGAATAATAGATAACCCAATAACTTTAACTACAGAAATTCTTATAATAGATCATCCTTAATGAACAAATCTATTTGTATAAATAGTGATTTGATTGTAGAAATAAACCTGACCTGTTGACAGAGCATTTGACAAAAAATCACTTACTTAATTGTGATCTTGTGTATCTAGATGAATAAATGGAACATCGATTCTGATAAGAATTTATATAATGGGACCTATTATTAGAGGTGTAAGCCGCCGCGGCCGATTTTCTCCCAAAAAGCATGGCCGCCGCCGTCAAGCGAAAAAAATGATATATTTTTGAGCCGCCGCCGACAGGGAATAATGGTCTTTATATTATTTATCGATCTGTGTCAATTAATATCTAAATAAAAAGTATTCAACAGAATGTCTTCTTTTTATTTTCAACATTTTCTCGAAACATATAATAATGTCATTCGGTAATATTGTGTTTTAAATGTTCTATTGAAACATATCTTTCAAACATCCAGCCATGGTGTATGTATGAACATTTAATTCTGAGCAAAATTATATGATATAGACCAATTGAAGAGTGGAAAACTAATGACGTGTGCGTCAAATATCTTCGGCAAATGTTTTTTAAACTAAAGATGAATACACCGAGTTTTTATTTGAAAAATAAACACGTACAAATAAATACATCAAAATTAAAAAAATTTCCTATCTAAGTACGACCTCGACGGATATTAGAAAATCGTAATGCAATGTATGCTGTAGTGCGATAAAATATAAGCATACCAAAAAGTACAAGAAAATTAAGACCAACATTAAGATTAAGATTGAAATATTTTATAGCCTCATTACTAATAAATGTTCCATTTGGATTATTTTTACACGTATCAATGTATGCGCCATCTGTACATTGATATGTTCGTTCACCCATAAATTGTAATTGCATACATCCATTATATGCATATGTATTGTATGATATCCATTTCACCCAAACTATGAGCCAATATGGTGTACTATGAGAAAAATATCCAACGGCTAATAAACATCCGAATAAATATACATTACATGCTACCATAGCTCTTCCTACATCTTGAAGTAGAGCACCAAAGAAAAGGCCAATTGATTCAGCAACAAGAACTGACATTGAAAGAAAACTAAGAATACCAAGAAAATTAGCAAAATCTGAATTGATATTTGCCATCCAATACATAATAATAAAAGATATTGCCGGTAAAACAAGTTTAATTGGACTTTCTGATAGACATTTAGCAAAAAAATAAGCTGATAAACGAAATGATCCACTTGCTCGTTCTTTATCAATCACAGAAGTTTCAATAGAAAATGATACTACACCTCCAAAACATATACTTAAAGGCCAAAATATCAATACAAAAAATATAAATGATGATCGATCTTGTATTGTATTCTCATGATATTTCATACGTAACCAAAAAAGACCAAATACAATTGTAATAAAACATGCTTGAATACAATTAAGTTTTGTAAATTGAGATTTACTTGTTAATACCCAATTACGTGAAAAAAGTATCCAAGTTTGTGCAAAAAAAACCAATTGGCCATTTATTTTCATTTTTATTTGCCATTAAATTCTTATGATGTTTATTGATTAAATCTATTTCTTTTTCATTTGGTTCATCTATAAGATATTTTCGACCTTCACTTGAATATTTATGAGGATTTTCTAATCTATTCGATGATTTATTTTGAATATAAGCTTCTTTAAGTTCTTCACGAATTTCCTTATCTTGATTGACAAGATCCATAATAAAATCAGCTGGATTATATTGTAAAGGTGCATGATGACCTAATGTTGCAAAATAATCTAAAGCATTCGATGGTTTACCCTAAGAAATGAAAAAAAAAAATAGATATTCATTGAATAGTTAAAATATTGTTTAATGCATACCATAAAAATAGTTTTAGCATCAGCTAATAAAATAAGTTGATCAAACGAATGAAAAATTGGTGATGATGGTTGATGAATAGACATCAGAATTGTTTTACCTTTTAATGCTAATTCACGAAGAACACGTATAAGAGTAACAGCTGATGTACTATCTAAACCTGATGTTGGTTCTAAAAAGAAAAAGAATGTATAAAATTTGAAAAAGTAATGCGACTAACCATCAAGAAAAATAACACTTGGATTAGTTAATAATTCTGTGCCAATATTAACACGTCGTTTTTGTCCACCAGATATAAGTATAATTGGAGTATTTGCACAATTTTGAAGATGTAATTGTTCGATAATTTGTTCAACTTGAGCAAGTTTATCTTTTCGTGTTAAACTATTTGGTAATCGAAGTAAAGCTGTATATGTTAATTGTTGCTTAACAGTAAGATTTTCAAAAAAAATATCTTCTTGTAATACATAAGCTATATTACGTTTCATACTTTTTTCATAACGTTGATTATTAAGCCAAATATTACCAGTTACACCATTTAATGAACGACCAGCTAATGTATTGAGTAAAGTTGTTTTACCACAACCAGATGGTCCCATAAGTGCTACTAATTGTC